GCTGGAGCTTGATCAGCCATGGACCATGAATTGGACTGTAGACGAAATGGATCAATTCCGAGGGCTGCTGAAGGCCAAGTGCCTCCTCTGGGTGTCTTCCCAGGGCCCCGCGGACGAGGCTCTCAGATCCGCCAGCTCTGGGGCGACCACCGGTCTGCTGCGGACCTTGCGCAATGAAAGGTCCGGTCTTGCACTGCCGCAACTGTTTGTTGCCGACTCTGATAAGGAGGCAGCCCCGCTGGCTCAAAGTATTGCTCATGTGCTGCAGCTCACCTTGCAGCCATCTGGCTCCCGGTCACGCGATTGGGAGTTCTATGTGCAAGATGGTCGATTGTTTGTCCCCCGAGCACTCGCCGCCACATCGCTCGATGAGAGTATGGATGCTCTGCTCAAGGGCCCGCGACCGACCCCAGCGGAGCTCGCGAATGAGAGGAGACCTATGCGTCTTCGCACCGAGTCGCCGGACCTCCAAGACGCTCACTGGGTGGAGGATGAGAGGATGAACCCACCCCTGAGCGATGACCATGTCGAGGTGCAACTCCACCAGGTCACTATCTTCCCAACGGCGGGGAAGAAGAAGAATCTCTTGCCAGAGGCAGGCATCAGAGCCGTCGAGGCCGTCGGGGTCATTCGTCAGGTCGGAGCATCCATCAGCTCGGCATTTGTACCTGGGGAGCCCGTACTTTGCATCGTGCCTAGCGATGCATGGTCGAGCAGCATGGCTACGCGAGTGCGTCTCCCCACCAGCGCACTTTGGACCATACCCCCCGGCCAGGAACACGCGTATCAATCTGTCTCGATGCCTGTGGCATATGCTACCGCTTACACCAGTCTGCTCGGTAACCCTGGATCACCCGCCGCATCCTCAGTCTTGGTGGTAGGCTCCGTCAGCCAGACCCTCCGGGCGACGATAGATTGTGCCTTGGCGGCAGGAATGCAAGTGTATGCAGCCGTCGAGGGAGAGAACGCGGCCGCGGAATTGCGCTCGAGGTACCCAGCTTTGAAGGAGGACCGCATCATCGCCCTCCACCGGGACCTGCCGACGACGATCTCCCGCCTAACAGCTGGCAAGGGGGTGGAGCTCAGCGTCTGCGGCATGGGAGGGGCTGCAACCCGTCTCGCCGCGCGGTGTCTGTCTTTCAACGGCCGTCTGGTCGATCTCAGCGGGGAATTGAACCTGGCTGGCCTCCCTCAGTCCATAGCCGATCGTGGATGCACCGTCAGCTCCCTGCGGCTGTCTCGTTTGCTTCGCGATGCGCCGCGCCAGCTGCAGGCCAGTTTCCACCGCGCCGTGGACCTTCTCGCGGGCGGAAAGGACAGAGCTGTGGCTAGGATTGAATCCTATCCGATCTTCCCAGTCTCCCAGCTGACTGATGCCCTGGCCCATGCGCGTGATCTGGGCACCCGGGTCATTATCAACCTCCAGGCGCCAGGGAAGGTGCCCATTGTGCCCGCCATCCCTGAGCCGGCTCCGCTGCCAGCGGAAAATACTTACCTCCTGATCGGTGGTCTGGGGACGTTGGGATTGTCGCTTGCCACCACCCTGGCTGATTGCGGCGCCCGTCACATCGTCTTTGTCAGTCGCTCTGGAGCCGTCCAGTCGACACAAACCGCGGCGCTGGAGGGTCTGCAGGCGCAAGGCGTGCGCACTGAGGTCGTCCGCTGCGACGCTGCCCGCCGCGAGGATGTACAGGGACTTCTCGCCCAAGCAAAGGAGCACAACTGGCGCATCCGGGGTATTGTGCAGTGCGCAACGGTGCTGAAGGTAAGTGGTCCACACCCCGAAAATTGATCTTAAAGCCAACTTGTCTCATGATACTAACACTGTACCAAAAAGGACGGCATGTTCGAGCAGATGAAATTCAACGACTGGAAACAGTCCATTTCCCCCAAGATCCAGGGCACCTGGAACCTCCACGAAGCCTTCTCTGACCCGAACAGCAGCAATGGCGACGGCGGACTGGACTTCTTCGTGACTCTGTCCTCTGTGGCCAGCGTGATCGGCAACATGGGCCAAGCCAACTACTCCGCCGGCAACGGCTACATGGACGCTCTGATGCGATGGCGCCAGCAGCACGGGCTCCCCGGTCACAGCATCAACATCGGCCTCGTCCCCGACGCCAGCGGGGTGGGTGAGGCCCTGGCTGAAGAATCGCCCGAACAGCGTCGCCAGCGCTACCGCCATCTCGAGGGGACGGAGATTTTTCAGCACGAGATCCAGACCCTATTCCGCGTCATCGTGCAGGGCATCTCCGAGGTCCCCGCCCAGGTCATTGCCGGCATGACGGACATCCTGCCGCGCGGCGAAGACGGCGCCAGCGCATCCCCGTGGCAGTTTGACCGGAAGTTCGACCACCGGGCCAGGCTTGCCGCCCCGGACGCGCAGGACGGTGTCGATGGCGGGGCCGGTGTGGCCCGGAAGCCGAGCGTCTTGCTGAAGAAGGCCGAGTCTGTGGACGAGGCTGTGCGCGTGGTTCAACAGGCGTTGCAGGAGTATCTGGCTCGCGCGATGGCCGCGGCGCCGGATGATATTGATCTGGAGTTGCCATTTTCGGCTCTGGGTGGTAAGTTCAACTGTCTTCCTTCGAATGGTGCCATTTTTGCGTTGGGTTCGGGCGAGCCAGAATCTTTGCCTAGGTATTGCTTTACTAATATCATATGCAGTGGACTCACTCAAGGCCGCCGAGGTACAGAGCTGGGTGAATCGAGAAATGGGCGCGGAGGTCTCCTCGTTTGAATTCCTGGGGTCCCAGCCCGTGAGAACTCTGGCCGAGAAGATTGCCGCGGGGAGTTCTTTTGTTTCTGCTTCTGCGTGATTTGCTTTACTTGGATTTGATGTTTGGAAATAGGTGGATATCTGTAGCTAGACTTGAATTGAGCATAAAACTCGATAAGTGATATTGTATTGGAAGTACCGGGATTGTAGAGACAATACTTGATGAGCATAACCAGTGGACTCGAAAACCACACCACTCGATGTAAATTAGACAAGACACGATGGATATTCGCACAAAAGGATAGAGGTTAAACAGATACCGGTTACCAGGATTTAAAGTTTTCTGATCATTGACCAAGTCTGGATGCGAGATTTTTAGAATTGCGGTCATGGCTATCTGGAGTTTCTGAGGTTTGATATGTCTGTGATATAGAGGGAATGCTTCTGGTTCGGTCAATGTATAAGGCCCGCATACCGCAGCGAGTGAGGAGGAGAGGGACCGGGAAAGACCAAAAATATAAAAGACCAAGAAAACATACAACAGAAGGGATTCGCTGGTGGTCACCCACCCAACTACTAACCTCCCGGCGTGTGGCTTAAGTACGGCTGAGCGGACGGGAAGCCCTGTTTTCCACACCCTGTGGTCGTATGTACTAGTTTTGCTACAAGTATGTCTGATATCCATTAAATAAAAGCAGGATTTTCGCTTATCTGCATCGCTGCTGCAGTTTATCTATCTATCGGGAGGCTAATCACTTTGGCAGGTAGTTGGCCATCTGGTTCTAATGGTCCTGCCATGAATAGAGGATCGATGCTTCTAGCATTCGTTTGTATCGCGATGGTCCCGATTCCCTTTTCATCGGACCGGCAGGGGCCGCAGCCGCGCGCGAGGACAATTCGACTTCAGGCACAAGTCAGAAGTTGACAAAGAACACTTCGGATTTGGCCCCTAATCCTGGACGGAAAGTAAGACAGGGTCATGGTACATAGATCGGTTGAGTTGGGAGACCCGTCTTCAGAGCTGCGTACAATGTGATTGGTAATGTACGTGGACAAGAAATTACTTGGTATATGTACTGAGCTTGAAGAAGCTCGTGAAGGGCGACATGGATCGGTATCTTGAATAGTTCGTGGTTGGTTGACTGATAGGTTGAACTAGCTAAGATCTCGATATGGGCAACTCGCTTGATTAATCGCTGGAATACGCGGTTTGGGAACTTAGAAACATCAACAGGATACCGCACAGTCTGTAGTACTAGTAGAATTACAATCTCATGCTTACTGTGTTGGCTCATCGTCTCACGTTATAGTGGTTGGGTAAGTTGATACAATCGTAGGCGTGCGGTAGGAAACGGGAAGCCGGCGAACCCCATCCGCGCAAAGATATATATCCATGATGTTCGACTACCGGGGAGATCCGGTGCCAACAAAATCGTGCTGAATATGATGTATTGAACCAATTGGACTGGGCATAGACTGCGTACGAATCCCCAAACCACTCGATCATATGGGGGTCTATACAACGAAGTCATTTATTGTTGCTTTTCAAGATCTCCTTCCCGTCGAAGAAGAGAAGAAGGAAGTATTCTCATGGTGTTATCATAGTTGTCTGAACTATATAAGGTAAGCACAAAAGGAATTAAGCACATACGACCACAGGGTGTGGAAAACAGGGCTTCCCGTCCGCTCAGCCGTACTTAAGCCACACGCCGGGAGGTTAGTAGTTGGGTGGGTGACCACCAGCGAATCCCTTCTGTTGTATGTTTTTGCTAAGAATTTTGCGTCCTGCATAATGTAGAACTTGTTGCAAGCAGGTCGCGGATAAAAGTTGATTGGCGAAGGCGGTAGTTTTTTTTTTCCCTCGCCAAGCACCTACCTCTAAAAGTGGCGGGATCACTGATGCTGGCAAGCATGGTTCCCATTGCTGACCCCTTCAAAGTAACGACGTACTAACCAAACATATGCGTTGCATAAATTAGAAATCGTGCGCTAGAAACAGTTGAGATATGAAGACTTTGCCTTGGCAATCTTTCAGGCAACGACAAACCTTTATGCCAAGTGAGCAAGAACTCTGGCTTGCGCTACAGGTGTCTCTCTTGCAATAAGCCATTGCTTCGATTCTGCTACTTGCCAAAGCCATGTGTCCCGCTGTGTTCCAAGGACTGACGTGACAAGACCGATTGGAGCAGTAATGATTTGGCGCTACGTATCCCAGCTAGAGCTGATCAGGACTGTTCTTCATATCAATTGGTCACCTTCCGCGTATACATTCCAGGCTAGTTTCTTAGTCATTACCCAGAGATAACCTGGCTACCTGGTTGAAGATTGACTCGGTAACCAGATCGCCTCCCGGAATCACACTGGCTGGCTTCTCCTGCTTGAGTAGCTCCGCCATGCCGATCGCCTGCTGAATACCCGTGATGTTTCCAATGAGGTCGAGAATTTGCGTCGCCCATTGTTTCGCTGGAGATCCTGCTGCTGCGCATCGACCTGCGATGAAAAGCGGCCACAGCGCCCGGTATATGCTTCCAAAGCCTACTTCGCCGGAGAGGAAGTAAAATGGAATACTGTCACAGATCTCACCTGCCATGTGCTCAATAATGCCAGTAGACTGATATATGATCTGCTGATACTGTGGAAGATTTTGCAACCGCCACCGGCGCAGGGCCATCATCCTAATCATCTCGTTGAGAACGATGCGCGTCTGGCGGTAGTTATTCCACATTGTGGCGATGGAGACCCCGTGGTAAAGATGATATCGGTTATCATAGATCGGCGGATAGGTGGATTTGGGCAAATGGGAGCGCGGGTCATCGATAACTTGATAAGACCACGCTGGACTCAGCGATGTCGTCCACGCCAGTAGACGCGCATCCAGGGTCAGAGATCTTTCGATCAACGACTGTTGCTTCTCGAGGTCACTTTGGAGGTGGGCCTCGTCAACTTCGATTGCTATATCGTTCAGCTCGATGAGCATATTGTAGAGGGTTTCAATCGGCCGGGTATGTTCATTTCGTTTGGATCTCGCGACTTGAGACAGCGCTGCAATCGTGGGTGAATTGTGAACCCGGGACCCCAATCTGAAGAAAACACTGCTGATTACCTGCCAGGCCCGCATTAGGCAAGTAGTAGAAACCTTCCATAGAGGGAATTCCTCACATTCTGAAAACGCACAACGGTGAATAACTCTAGCCCAACCGGCGAGCTCAACTGCTCTTCACCTCGTAGCTCTATGAGCTTGGCTGCTCCTTGAGCATGGTCCCTCCAGCCACTGTCCATTTCCGTGGGTCGTGATGTGATCAGCTGAAAAGGATTGATCAGTGTATGTTGCTTGGACGAAAGGGTTGCAGCTTTTAATGGGGCGTATCACCTCATACAAGCCCAGCAACAACACGGCGCCCAGGGTGGAATCCGAGGTTGCTGTTGTCGGATCTCTTAAAGCACTATTTGTAGCACGCAAGGCAATGATGTGTTCTTTCCTGGCTCGCTGTCCCACATGTGGCATCCTCGTCATGCCTAACAGACCTATAGCCTTGGCGGAGGCTTTCAAGGCAGGAGAGGGGTCATTCTGCAACAGGCTTGGCAGAAATCGAAGTAAGCCCCGATGCTGGTCCGTGCCAACATAGTATGGGATGATATAAGACATGGCTCGCTGGTCATCGGAGATGGGGGAATAGTTTAGGGAGAGTGTAGACGGCGACTCTTCCGCAGGCGACTGTTGGATGGGACCACCACGGGCCTGAGCCTTGGACGCAACTTCCGCGCTCTGATCATAGATCCTCAAGGTCCCGGGATCTCGATATCCAAAACATTCTTGATTCACTCGCAGGCACTGTGAACATGATGGCTGACGTCGGTCGCACTGCATACTGTTGGCCATTTCCTCGCTGTGTAATGTCTGGAACGTGCCCACTTACTCGCAGCCGTCGCTTTCGGCACAAGGTACACCCCATACTGATTTTGCCTCTGTATACTCCGGCCATGGTGCTGTCATCCCAAAAAGGGAAACAAGTTCGCAGAACCTTGAAGTGGCTTTCGGATGCATCACGAGAGGAGGACTGTTGCTGTTATAATGCAAGGCTTGATCAGATCCGCCCCACAAGAATTCGCAAGTGCTTGCCAGTTGGCCCCACATGCGGGCCAAAAGTCATGGACGGCAACCAACCAAAGTGCCCACGGTGGAGATGAACAACTACCCCGCAGAATACTAAGCCTCGCCCACTAGACCATCCCAGGTAATCAGCTCGGACTGGAACTGCTACCACTTTGATGACCTTTAGGCTTTGAGGGGGTGAGGGGACTACTGGTGGGGTAGTAGAGAGTCACCATCCGGCAGTGCTTTACTTCCCATCCATCAATTTTCATCAACCTGCAATCGAGGGCTGAGAAGGATGGAGCTCCCACTCTAGCCTAGCCTGTTTCAGGTAGCTGGTTCGGAACAAGCAATATCTACCCATCAAATGGATTTAAGCGAGTGGAACAGTATCATTTATATGTCCTCATCAAAAACAGGCAGTCCACTGGCTACTACTTAGTACCGGGCTATGTTTTAGCGGGAATCACCATCCTCGTCTCCGACCGCGTTATGGTAGTATTGCATGGTCTGATTGGCTGGGAGGGGATATGGGCCCTGACTACTAGCCCCGTCGTTCTGCTCTATTTTCATCGATTACGTGGCCAAGACCTATTTACTACATTACTAGGTACATGATGAACCTGGGAATTCCTATCAAAAGCTGGTGTCATGCCAAAGACAAATTGTAGCCCTCAAGCTCCGAGCCGGCTACTGGATTGAAATTAGCGCGCTCGGTTGTACTAATACTCCACTAATGTCAACTTCGTATCCCCAGAGCTGAAACCAAAAAAACGAACAGAATAGTCTGTCTGGAGCGGCTGGTTTGGGCTACGACTAGTCTCTTCCATGAGAGTTGTTTGTTGACAGGGACAATTGTACTACATTTGATGCGCAAGATCGACGGGCAGGAAATGCCCCGAGACGAAGATGAGGCACCCAGGCGTGGGAGAAAAACACCCGGCAGTATATAAAGAGGATGATAAGCTGGTTTTGAAGGTGGTATACAACAAATCCTCTAGGTCTTGCATCTCAATTGACTCCTCGTCTCTTTTCTACCTAAATCACAACCGCTGCGACAATGGCACACGTGACCTATTCTGATGGCATTTCAATCCTTCAGTTGATCGTGTTCCCATTTCTTCTCGCGTGTTCCATCTACATCTGGAAACGAACAGGATGGAGAGCCGGGGGTCACACCTGGCGATTCGCTGTCATCCTATCTTTACTCCGTGTGATCGGCAGCATATGCACACTGGCCCAGCTCAGTTTCACCTCGACCAATCTAAGGACTGCCGCAACAGTATGCAATTTAATCGGCATCGCGCCCCAGTCCCTGATGTATATGGGACTGTTGCAACAAATGTGAGTTAGAGACTCTGAACCCCACTCGGATTGGCAGACATGCTAACAGTTGGGCGTTTCTCTAGTGATGTGGGATACCGAATCCCTCCCAAACCCCTGCAGTCCTTGTCCCTTGTATCATTGATCGCCCTCGTAATCGCGATCGTGGGGGTGGATAAGACAGAAAAGTCCGGCAGCATCAGTGCACTCCTCAAGGCAGCCATGATCATCTTTCTCATCGTCTTTGCCGCCATCCTGGCGGCCACTGCTTGGCTGTTCAATGAGACAAAAGGCACCCTGAGACGATTCCAGAAAAAGCTGTTCCTCGGAGTCGCTCTGTCTGCTCCCTTTTATACCGTGCGCTTAATCTTTGCGGCGATCGCCGATCTGGGCCATTATGAGATCTTCCAGTCTTCCCTCAGCAGCAACCCTACCAACAGCAGTCTCACACTCTCGTTGTGCATGTCTGTGCTGGAAGAGATGATTGCTCTGACTATTGCCGTGGCATTTGGTTGGTCTGCCATGCTCGAGCGAGACTTCGTTATCCCGGGAGCGGCAGTCCCTGGAGATTCTGAACAGGAGCAGAAGGTTGAGGGTGTATGATCTGGTGGATGTTCAGTGAGCTGTAGGATCTTCAGGCATTCATTTGTCTTGGGCGAAGGCCCGGTTTGATCATTCTCATGTACAGTACATGGATGCTGACATTATCCATAAACATATAAGCTTACTATTGTAATGCGACTTTGCGCTACTTGTAAAGTTCCCGCGCTACTCGTTCTCCCCGTCCGGTAGGGGTTCTGGAGAATGGGATAAAAGATTAGTTAAAATCTTGATTAGGGATTTATTGATCAAGTTGTGCTAGTGTCATGGCGATGGATGTGAAGTTCTTGTTGCAATCAAGTGCCCGATGCTTAGCTCGTTGTCGTGCCAGCATTGGCTGGGATACAGTGCACTGGATCTAGTTACATGATCAACGTAGATCACTTGCGAAAATCGGGAATTGGCTTATTATTTCAACATCTCTCGTTTCTACTTCTCTTAGATTTGCCTTTAACATAAGGGAGATGCATTCGTCCTGAGCTCCGCATGGAAACCTAGCTCTTGGCGGGCAAGTACTCGCGATAGACAAATTCACGCAGTAGATAAACAAAAGACAGCAAGCATGTCAAGCAAAGATCGATTATGCACGGGTTAATGGGCGGGTGTTTATCTACATCGATCTCTCGGTCGAGATACATGTCGCTTCCGGGCGAGGCAGGTCCTCGGGGTAGCTTAAGTACAGCCGTGTTTGACTTGCATGTAGACTGCTTTGTATAGTCCATCTCATTTTGCAAGTAGCATGAAGCTGCCCTAGGACTGCGGGCAACTCCTCATTAAGGTGTATCATCCAAAGTGGCCTTCGATATGGTAGGCCAACGCTGGTTTAACAACATAAACGTCTTCGGTCGCCGACCGATACAAGCATAGTAAGACATTCCCAACACAAAATCTCCCCATTCTCGAATGCTCAATGCTCCAAGCCTCCCCGACTCTTCAGTTTCAAGTCAACATGCCCGGTATCTCAAGAATCGAGCTCTTAACAGTTCCAGCCAGGCAGGCCGCTGATATCAGTGGCCACGATGCCCCAGGGAGGGTTGCAGCCACCCTCGTCCGAGTTGAAGAGGTAGTACCATCCTTTTTCTTGCTTAGCAAGAACTCCCAGTCACTCAAGCAATAGAGACTTACCATTGGCACAGCGGCAGTAAGAGGTGGAGATACCGCAATCGGGGTCAGACCTATGATAAGGCAAATCAGTACAAGGCATAGGAGCTACCAGGTCGGATGGAAGTGTGCCTACACAGGGAAGCACCCGCTGTCACCGCGGGCGGCAAGGTCTGCGTTGCTAGTCTCCGCCGAGGGGAGGGCCATGACGGCGGTGGCGCTCAGGAGGGTAAGGAGGAGAGTAGGAAGCTGCATCTTGTCGGATCTTTGGAATGAAGAGGATGGTGACGAGGAGAGTCGACGAGACGAGAAGCCATCCGGCTTATATAGTGCTCAGAGGAAGCCTCAATCATGGTTTGGAAGTTGAAGCATCTCGCCTGATACTCGCGCCAAGAGCTCATGGTCCCATTGCGAGGGGAAAGGCAAGGCTCTGTCGGACTCTGCAGGAGTAAACGGCCTCCAACGCCGCCGGTCTTGGCACAGGCGAGTTATCTATACAGAATCGCTTGAGGCTGAAATGTCTCAGTCCGCAATCGCTTGATTGGTGAAGGATGTAGTCGCAGGATCGTGGAGTCAAGAGCTTGCATGATAGCTTGTGAATAGCCGAGAGAATACGAAGCTATTGACTGAATGCATGATTTGTGATGGACTAACCTGATTGTTTAGCAGGTGAACTAGGGCTGGAATAGGAAGGAAGAGCGATGCTCACCGCCCGGACCGGCACGAGGCAATTTGGAATTGACAAACCCTGAAGGAGTCAATCAGTACATTAACTGATCAATGAACCCTTAACCCTGAAAAATAACAAAAAAATCGATAGTCGGTGGGGATAGTCAAGAACATTTCTTCATCGCCTCCACGCAGCTTGGCCTTCTTGGGCAAAGCTTAAACCCAACCGCTTTTGACTGGCCGGAGTCCCCACAATCCTTCAACCATCGCCTGATAGCGCCCAGATAAAATAAACAATCAACGCTCACTTGCGCCTCCTTTCTTGCCCTCACCAAGTAACTTAATCATGTCCTCTCCTTCAAAGCCATCAGGCTTAGACAGCTTACCCAATGAAATACTTCTGAAGATTCTGGAGCAATCTCCGGATATCTCCACCCTGTGGAGCCTCGTCAACACCTCTGCACGCTTTGCCGCACTATTCCAGGCTCGGGCGCTGGAGACCGTCGAGGCCGTGCTCGAGGCCACCGTCCCGTTGCAATCGCGAATTCTCATGCGGGCGGTGCTGTCCCTGCGCGCCGGAACCAGTCCATGCCGGGACTATTTCGACGCGATGGATTACCTGACGGAGAAATTCGAGCCCTGGCCGCCAGTGGTCGCCACCGCGGCCATCGTCCGGGATTTCGTGCGGCTCGCACACCAGGTCCATTTGCTCGCGCATTGGAGTCTGGATACCTGTCTCCAGCACTGTCTCTCCCGTCCACAGCTCTCACGACGCCAATATTGCCCGACATTCCGGCAGCCCACGTGGACGGAGGAGCAGCGCACGATTCTCGCGTTTTGGCGGCATGTGTGGTACCAGAGCCTCCGGCTTGCGGGCCGCCAAGGATTGCTAGAATGGAGCCCCGCCGACCTCGACCGCTTGGCCACAGTCACCCCCTGGGAATACCCCATCCCCTCCTCGGGTATCTACCAGGTCTTGACAGTCATGGACTTCTTGAGCCGCCACCCTGCGGCTGATTCCGACACAAGCACCAATCTGGTGCTCCCGGATATCCCGGCACAATTCCGGTTCGGATGGGCGTGTGCCCCTGCGCCCTATGCCAGCGCTTTGGCGCAAGCAGCGGATGGGTTGAGTGCTGCAACCGAGCCGGACGAAGGAGCTCTCCAGCTGGAGGGCAATTTAGACGAGGAAGGGGA